TTAGGCTAGTAGTCCTCTAAGCTGTTTGCTCACATACAAATTAGCTAAATAAGCTACTCCTTTAAATATTTCCTATGTCACAGGGCTACTCTTTAAAATCCAATAAAGGTAGAGTTTTAATTACACGGTTCCTGAATTTTGTTTACTTCTAGTTTTAACTATTTGCAAGCTTCTGGCTTTCAGGATGTGATGCAACAGCAAGTGTACTGTCCGTTTGAATAGGATCTCAATAATAATATGATCAAATCCTGCTAATAATTAACATCTGGTCCAGTGTCTACCATAATACCTGTGTGCTGTAAACTTTTCACACCTAAGACTCATTTTAAACTCACTTATACCTTAAGATCCATCAAGCCACCTCCATGTTTGAAGGCTGGTTTATTGAAGTGCCTTTGAGTCCCTTCTTATATTGGTAGGACTGCTATTTTGTATTTGGATATGTGATAGTCCAGTCATGAATCACCCCCCCCCCCCCCGCCTTGAATGGTGTTACATTCAGCAGTCTGTGCCACTGTGGAAATTTCAAATGCCATTGTAGCCACTTGGTGTGGGGAACTAGGGCAGATGTCAGTGCAGCTGGCACTTGCGTGGCCTTTGGAGTCTGTAGCCATATGACTGTGCTGAGTGCCAATTCTCTTCTTTAGACAAGGTCATGATCCTCCAGTTTCACGTCTGCTTGTTAAGAAAGCACTTTAAAAAAAAGCAGGGAAAACGGGATATTATTTCTGAAAGTGAAAGAACTAGTTGTGTATTTGTGCTATTCTGCCAATAGGACAATGCCAGCTAAAAGTTATGTTCAGAAAAGCTCCTTGTGTCAAGCCACTTTGGCCAGGTTCACACGACATCATGTGCCACACTGCTGGGGCTAATAATGTGACCGGCATGCAATTGTGCAAACCAGAGCATTCTCAGACCAATGGGCTACATCACATCCGAGAGCAGCATTGCCAGGAGCTCAGATTTCCACATGTGGCTCTCTACAGTAGAGATATTTGCTTGAGTTTTTGCCTTTCTCCTTCTGTAAGAACAATGGCTTTTCAGCTTTTTGATTCAGCAGAATTCTTTGTAGCTGCAAGATTCTATTTTGGAGCTATATCCACTATCTGGTGCTTGGCAAATAATGTACATTTGAAATGGATAACTACATTGGGAAATCTGACAACACTGAATTGCTAGGTAATTTGGTCCAGGTTTAGAAAATGTTCCTAGAAAGTATCTGCATGAAAGTGTCAAACAAAGTCTTATTTGCAATTTTTGAAGGCAAAATTTGTAGGCAAAACACTCTGCATCATCACCATCATCACTGGCCTTCAAAAATGGCCCTGTATGGCATAAAAGAAATAAAAGGCAGACCCCCTACTCTGGGGGGTCTTAGAATCAAAACATAGGAAGGAAAGAAGGGCAACAAAGGAAAGGGATGAAGACAGAGATGGTGGCAATGACCCTGAATGGAACATCCCTGAAGATGGGGACGCACAAGGGCAAGGCTAACCTCCTAATATATTTTTTTCTTTTTTACTATCTTGGTTTGCTTAGAATTCTCTTTTGCTCCTTAGTACCTGGTGAGTGCCTTGGTGGGAACATATAGGGGATCAAGCATATATGTTTGATCTTTGGGGACCTTAATCACTGTAGTGGTGGGTAGTGAGAAATATGGAATTGGGAGCAGGGCTAGTCAAGTAAGGATTGACTACTAATGGCTGAGCTATGTTCTAGCCCTCCTTGTATCTACAGGTATGGTTCTTCAGATACTAATTTTAAATGCTGGACCAGTTCAAAACAAGACAATTTAAATAATGGATCAGGCAGCCAAACTGCCATGCATTACCAAGACCTGTGTGGACAAGGAGATAGTCCCCCACAGTCAAACAAGCAGACCAATTAAATCATGTCCATGTTCCTGCTGTCAAGCTCAAAAGCAATGTGTACCTCCTTGAGGGTAGAGCCCCCCTCCATTTGGTGCGGAAGGGGAGAGGGAAATTAAGTTCGGAATCAGCTCCTGGCACTAACTAGGCAAAGAGGGTCTTAACGCTGCTGATTCCTTGTGTTCACTGCAGCAGAGCTTGTACAGGTCCATCCTATACCCCAGAGTTGATAGCAATGAAGCAAATCAGGAGGGAGTTTGAGGGCAGATGGAGAAAAATTTCTAATGAATGCAGTCAAGCCCTGATATATGCCTAAAGTCTATTAACACCACTACCATTATTTAGGAATGGTAAAGAAACAACATCTCATCGCCTCTGTTCAAGTTTCTCTCTGCCACCCAGTTAGCTTTCCAGGGTCATCCAGAGTCTATTATACACTGGTGTGGTTATATTAGACACTGCCAGGCACTTCCAGGATACAATTTCATGCAGCTGCCAGGACTCAGACTGCACTTGTTACTAGGTTGACAATTGTCATTTAAGTGTGCCTGTGAGGAAAAATTTAGTTTGAAATGACTTAACATCTTCTTTCCTCTTATACCTGAAGGTTTTGTCCTTTCCTTTCTTGTTGTTTTTCCTTGCCTTTCCTTTTCCCTTAGGTTTGGGTCAGAAGGGGGTTCAGGCACTGGTAAAGTCAAGACCGGATTATGGTCATGTGCTCTGTGTGGGACTAACCTTAGGCCCAGTTCAGAAGCTGTAAATGGTACAGAATGAAGAAGAGGGTCCTTTTCTCAATAATGTATCACACCGCTGCTAAGTACAAGCATTGCACTAGCTATTTCCAAGCCATTGTGCCAAATTGAAGATTCTTTTTTTTAACACCAGGGACTCCAAACAACTTGAGATCAGGTTGCCTTCGGGATCACCTCACTCTTTATGGCCCCACCCAATCCTTGCAGTGTCTCTGGTGGTGCTGCCTGGTCCTAAGGTGCACCTCACCACTACACCTAACAGTTGTAGCGTTTGCGCTCCGGGTCCTAGTCTGATCTTTAGATGGGTGCTTAAGACATACCTCTTCATGCAGGCTCTCCCTGAGGTATGACCCTCCCAGTGTACTTACATTTTTTTTATTGATCAGTGATAGTGTAACAGTGTATTTTTATTGTTTTATCATCATTATTATGTTAACTGCTTTGGTAGTTCACTGGAAAGCAGTATATACATTTTTTTAATATTAACAAACAAACAAAAGTGTAAAGTGAGGCCACACAGAACATTGCATACTAAGGCTCCTCAAAGCAGACCTCTTCTTCAGTATTTGCATAAACTTGCTCACACATTCATTATGACGAATTGTTTCATGGACTAGAATCCATCAGAACTGATGAAATGGTTGCTAGTCCATGCCAGGAGAAAAAAAGTTAAATCATTAAGCGGCAACAAGGTGCTACAATGGACAAATGCATCTCCATTTCTGGAAATGTGAAATTTTGCACAGATCATGTGATGCTGTTTCAGCTAGCACAGTGCACTCCTCTGGTGAAGCTAAGCAAATCATGTTTAACATATAACTAGGTTGTCCTTGTGTTTCTGAAGCTGACTTTAAAGAGTCATCTGGAGTACAGCTGAATATACTGCTAATGTAACTTTGACACTAGTAATATTTTGCTATTAGCACCAATTATCAGGATCATTTTTAAATGAATGCATGCCTTCCAGCAACTGGCTACATGATTAGCAGTAAATAATCCCATCCTACTCTCCAGTTGTATCATTCCAGAATTATTTTATTTTAAATGCTATGCAGGACCACTCAACAAGGTTTCAGCTTTTTACACATGAAATGTAGACTTTAAAGCAGAAGTGGACATGTGGCATGTATGCAGTTCTTTCTTGCCTGTTTCTGCTCCTGGCACCGAATTTGACCTGGAGGTGCCAAAAGGAAGCTATTTTGTAATGCCTCCTGAGCGCATAATTCAGTTCGCCAGCATGCACCTTGTTTGCTCACAAAATCACCACTTCTTTTGCTGTCCCAGTAGCAAATTAAATGACAATTTTGGCAGGTAAGGGTTGTTGTGGTTCCCAGTGAATTCTGGGATGCCAGTGCAGCAGCTTGCTACCCAGAAATCGTTCCACCTCCGTTTTAAAAGCTGCAATTCTATACACAATTACCTGGTAGTATGCCTCAATGACCTCAGAGGAACATAATTCTGAGCAGAATTATATATATAAGACTGTGCTGAAAGGCAAATAAAATATGAAAGTATTCTTCTATACAAATATGAATTCCTAGCAAATTTCATATCCTTAGCCAATTAGTAAGTTCAATAATTCAAAATGCTACTTCAAGAAACCTAATTTTGCCACAATTTTATTTTTTTGGTTATTTTTCAAAGAAAATTTATGAAGATTGCAGGATTTCTTATGTAGGCTCCTATGCAGGGAAAAGGATTATTTAAAATTCAAGATGCAAACACCACAGATTTGGGTTCCTGGGAAGCCATATGCACTTTACTTTTTTCTAGGCTTCATACTAAGCATATGCCTGATCTTTACAAGCCTGCCTTTTACAACTTAAACAAGTAACATTTTTACTTTCTATTACCATCTGAAATGTCTTTCTAACCAATTAACTGACCCATGAAACGAGGTCATTAATTTAAATTACCCACAAAAACTCTGTGAAGGTTGAAAATCAACCAGGCTACTATTAGTCATCTAAAACTTCAATAGAGGATGCTAATGAGGGCAAATGGTCTGGCACAATGAATCCTACACACTGAACGCAAAATAGCAAGTTATGCAAAAGCAGACAGATGAAGGATTAAAGCGATGAAACAATATAGTAGTGGGCTGGTTTTTAAACTAGATACAATGAATCATAAAATACTTACCTATGGCATCTGAAATTTCATTGACTTTGAACTTGAAAAATAACCACTTCCCTTCCCCAGATTGTCTCGGGGAATCCAAACTGACTTTAACAGATTGGACCAAAGTAGGAGGCATTCACCTATCCTCTGTCCAAACTCACAGGCATCTGAAACAGCAGCAGCTCACTTATATACCACAACCTGATGGGGCATCATGGTTAAAGTTCATGCCCACCGGTGCACTTTGGTAAGGCCTCACCTCTGGGTCCTGTAATAACAGGTCGATGATGCTGTGTGAATGCTGTTCCAAGGGAAGAGGTCTGCGAAGGCGAGGGGCTGCTGAAACCAGACTTCTCTGACTTCTTTAATGTAGTTGGTGATGGCATTCCTGGCAAGAATGATTGATAAGTGCAATTTAATAATGCTAGGTCATGGAAAGTGGATGCAAATGCAGATAAACTTAAAGGACAAATTAAATTGCATACAACAGGAAGCCTGAAAGCTTATTTATGACTGTCTTTGGGGGCAAAGGATGGTCATCACTGGAGTTAAAAATTCATATTAAAATGCAACAATATTTTTCTTGTAGTATCTTTGAGAGCCACTCCCTGACACATTATTAATTACCATTCTTCTTAAGCCCTGTTCTTTTATGCTACCAGCTTACAATATATGGAACATTTAGATTTTCTTTTTACATATTTAACAGAGTGTTCTGCTTTTCACTCTCCCTAGTTTATGAGGAGGCATGAAACATGTCTCATGGAGTAAACTCAGTTCAGAGTTCTGAAACACCAGAGGTTCTACAATATATAACAGGACATAACTCTTCTCCCCTTGGGTTGCTGTTTTTCTGAAAAGTTCTGAGTGAGATTGAAGAGCACTCTATAGAGGTTCAGGTGGTTGGGGTGGGGAAGGTTGAGGGAGTTATGCACAAAGTTGAAAAGTTGCTTTGGAGATGAGTAGCTTGAAGAATTCCAGATGCTTCTGCAGTAACAACTATTTTGAGTTACAAGCAATGTTCACTTCTGAGGCTCTACTATGTAGGAGGAAAAATAGGATTTTAAAGAGTCTTTTAGTGCAGTTCCATTTTAAAAGTATTTTATAAGAACAGCTTTATATGTGTGTGTGTTATTCAGCTGTTTGCATATGATTCTCTTTAAAGAGCATTAAGAGAGATTTCCAGTTCAGAAGTGAAAACCTTCTTCTGACTTCACCTTTAGATCTGGTACTAATCGGAACACAGGAAACTGATCAGCACAGGCTATCTAGGTGCTCTAAGCTGTCACCTGCACCTTTTTCCTGGAAATCTCAGGAGCTGTACCTAGGACCTCTGCATGTGGTTTAGACATATGCTCTACCATCAAGCTATGGTCTTTCCATGATAGGTCCTACTCATGTTGTGAGCCACCCTGAGGCTTGGGCAAATGGGGCGGCATATAAATGTTTTAATAAAATAAATAAATAAATAAATAAATACATTTTGATTTTATTATCGCATCTGTGACCAGATGAATTCAATACATAATACAGAGGTTATTGTCAGTATTATCGGAATAGGGAATCTGTGAGATAATTCAAAAATAAATCTTTCAGTGATGAGGATTCAGTTCCAGCTCTTAACCACCTATCAGAATACTCTGCATAATATATACACAGTGCCGTGTACTCAGAAGTAAGCCCCATTGATTTCAGTGGTAAGTGTGCATAGAATTCCTATTTTTTCCCCAAACTGTTTATATTCTCTAACTTTTCTACAACATGAAATGGCATGTTGTTGGATTTAATAAATATTTATTTTTAAATAATGGAGAATAAGAAAAACTGGAAATTGGTTTAGGATCTGGAAAAAGCAGGATTCTGTTTGCCCCTGAGAAAGGACACAGGGGTGCAATCTTTAAGATTCCTCCTTCCCCTGCAGGTCTGTGACTCCTGAAAACCTGCTCTGGCCAGCCGGGGCATGGAGGGGGAGACTTCAAAGCAGTGCCACAGGCAACACAGAGGCTACAGGGGAAAGGAAGAACAGTTCACGGCTCCTCCCTCCACTAGGGAGTCTGCAGGTTCTCAGAGCTGCCCATGAAAGGAAGCAACTTTCAGTTCATGCAATTATCAATCTGTATTCAACCTTACACCAATGCTTGACAGTCATACTTTTTTTAGATGTTATTTTCACAATGGGAAGTGCAAAGATTAGCACAAACCTTGTAGAGCTGCAGGGTTCAGATTTAATTAGGTTCTGGACAGAAGTGAGTGGGCTGAGACAGAGACAAGAGCACAGTTGCCCAGTCTCACACAAGGCAGATCCAACACTCCACCAACTTGTGTGTTGAGAGCAAGTATCCTGCTCTCCTGGTGCTTGCTATATAACCTTCTCTAGCTTAGGTAAGGCATTAAAAGGTTCACTGAACACAATGGAGTTTATTCCTCCACTGTGAAAGACATGCATAGGATTACAATAAAAAGTGTGATTCCATGATCTTTTTTTCTCATAAGGAAGACTCACTGTGTTCAGTGAGGCTTGCTCCCTAGGAAGTATGTTTGGTATTGCAGCCTCTGTGTGGTCAAGAATAGCATGACAGCATTTCAATATCTCATTTCAGCTGAATTCAATATAAACTCTGATGACTGCATTGTAGAAACAAGAAGCTGTTTATTTTGTAAATACGGATAACTGGTATACGATAGTGGCTAAACGGCAGTCTTATGCACACTGAACTAGCTGCAGTGACAGCAGTAAGATTTGCTTATAACAAAATATGCATAGGATTGCTCTGCATGGGTATGTACCAAGTCCCAGGCTGAAATATTAGGGACCATGATGCCCTTGCCCCATTAGTGGAGATCTCAGCCCTGGTATATACCATATCGGTTATAATAGTCGCTTATTTTGCAGGCCTCAACAATTTTATAAGAATCTTATAATATATAAAACTTTATAAGAATTTTATAAGCAATTTTTAAAGAATTGCTGACATGACTGGCATCATGGCTTACTTAAGTCATGGTAGGTTGAAGCACATGCCAGACTGCTTTCGAATTTTCAAATATGCAAAGAAAGTTAGTCCTAGTAAAGTGCCAATGAAATGATGGGCACAAATCAGTCATAATTAACAAGTTCTATTGTCTTCAAACAAGGCCACTTTCTTCTGGATTTGGCCCAGATACTTGGGATATTGAACATTCATTAATGATGGATTTTAAATATCTGTATTTAGATATTCAAACTGAAATTTAGGGAATAAGCTCAACTGAACTCAAAGGAGTTTGCTTCTGAGTAGAGATGTACAGGATTACATTGTTAATTTATAAATTGTGGGACACAGCAATCTTTCACAACAGCCTTTTAAAATACATATAATATATAAATATATACTAAATGGCAACTCTGTTTAAGTGTGCATATATACACAACATGCAACTTGAAATCTTCATTTTTCATTAACAATATAATAATTATATTGTTATAATATAATTATATTGTTATAATATAACTAGAGAAAGTCAAAGGCAGAAGACCAAATATGAGATGGATTGACTCCATAAGAGAAGCACAACTCTTAAATTTACAGGACCTGAGCAGGGCTGTTATGGGTAAGGCATTTTGGAGGGCTTTCATTGATAGGACCGTCGTAAGTCAGAGAAAACCTGACAGCACATAAGCACAGTTATATGCAAGAGGTTATAATCAAGAGATCAAAAACTAATGACTTCATTCAGAAGAATATGTAAACTGGATTTTGAGCATTTAATAATGCAATTCTATACATTTTAGTCAATAGAGCTCACTAGCGGCTAGCTGTGTAGAAGATTGCAGTCAACTGTATTGAAGGAATGTAACTGAGCTTGAACTGCAAGTATATAAAACGGCCTTCCCCAAGCCTGTGGCCTTCAAAGACATTTGAGCCACAGTTCCCAGAATTCCCATCCAGCAGGGCCTTTGACTGGAAATTCTGAGTGCTGCACTACAATCGTGGTAGGAAGGCACACAGCTGGGGAAGGCTAATCTGAAAGATATATTGTAGGGTCCAGTGAATGGTCTAGCAGCATCTGATGCTGTCATTTATTTATTTATTATTTTGATTTGTGACAAAAAATGCACAGGATTGCACTGTCACAGTGCTTTAACAGTCTTTGTAGCAATATACTCTAGAAACAATTGGGCTGATATATTTTCATCTTTTAACAATGAGTAGTTGTGGAATAAACACTCAGTGCAAAGGTGAATTTATGAGTTAACAAAACAAATACAGAACAGCCAAATGTATGTTTTAATTTCACATAATTGATTATTCTGAAATGTATAATAAGTTTGTTTATATTTTTGTATCTGTTTATATAAACAGATAATATGTTTGTTTATATCTACTGTCACTAAACTAGCTTTCTTTGTCTGGCTTCTGAGAAAGAAAGATCAGATCCATAATGGTGCTACACAGAACAAAATATGTTTAGTTCCAGAAAATATGTAATTCTCTCTCTTCACTTAGTAGGAATTTAAATACAGTACACAACAAAGAGAAAATTTAGACAGTATTAATCTTGAAAACTGCTCACAGATCAATTCTGCTTCATCATACTTTTGTGCAATTTTTGCCAAATTAAAACTGACTTAATTTTTACTTATATCATTTTCTGAATTTCTAAAGCTATTTTGTATATACCAAATCGTGTGCCAGTTCCATATGCCCAATACACAAATGCAAGCATAAATTGCATAATTAGTCTCTGGATGTTTCTGCTTACTGGTGTCCTGATACAGATGGTACAATCTCCCAGGAAAGCCTTCCAAAACTCTGCAGTTCACAAACCTTCAACCCAAGTTGAATATGCATAAACATTTCATGTTCATCATCATCATCATCATCATCTTCTATACCTCAGTAAAGCACTGCAGTGGTTTGGTATCTTGGACTTATTTGTATTTACAAGTCAAGAAATATTTTTTCTTATTGCATATGCAACAACCCTTATCATTAGCCAACCAAGAGAAAACCGTACATTAATTTCATTCACAATATCTTTACTTAATTGATAACATTTCACATATTTTTCACAAACCTACGAACATTTTTTTAAGGGTAAGCCATCCATCAGTATACTGAAGCCAACCATGATAATACTCTGTTTCTAAATGTACACAGAAAAAAATAATTTCACTCCTTAAGTATCACTAGAAAGTTCTCACTACAGAATCACTTAGTACACATTTCTGATCTTCACATTATAACAGTTATATAACTGTCATATCAATGTAGGCTAGTGTGATTACTAACAGCAGCATACATATGAATAACACTGCTTGCATTTCTTTTAACAGTAGGAACGCACTTAAAATATCTATGTACCCTAGGTATTGTTATATGGGCTCTCATGTAATTCATAGCAAAG